GTTCATCACTGAATTCCTAGCACCTATGGTAGCTGGCACATAGTTGACACTCAATAAATATTTTTAAAATAAAACCCAAACTTTTACCACTAACTCTCAGCTCTTGAGCAAAAAACCCGTATTTTCAACTGACTACTAGATAGCTCCAAACGGATGTCCTAAAGACATTTAAGCCCAAAACTAAACTTCTCTCCTGCACAGAACTGGCTCGTCCTCTTCCCAACCTAAAGAAGTCAATCTTGGAGTCATTTTTCATTCTTCCCACATCTAATTAATCTATAAAGTCATAAATTCTACATTACAAATTTCTTCCAAACTTGTTCCCATTCTAATAGTCACCACCTTATTTCAGGTCTTCATATGTTTATTCATTTGACAAATAGTTACTGAGCACCTACTGTGTATCAAGCATTATCTTAAATACAGGAAAATAATCATAAGGAAAAGAGAAAAGAGTCCTTGCCTGCATGGAACTTACAATCTAGTAGGGGAACAAGACAATCAATGATGACATAGTGTTTAACTGATTTAAAATAAAAAAAAAAAAAAAAAAACAAACAAGTACAAGGTTCTGTAAAAGCATATAAAAAGGGGCCTGACCACGTGCATGGATAGGAGAATAGGGAAGGCTTCCTTGGGTAAATAATGTTTGAATGATATCTGAAGGGTGACTAGCAGTTGATTACACAAAGGTATTGGGGGAGTGGGAGGTGGCAGGAGTACTGTAGGCAAAAGGAAACTCTAAAAGGAAACTGCAGCATTTGTGAAGGTTCTGGGTTGAGGTAAAAAGGAGAGGCAGTAGTACATGGTGATCAAAGAATACGAATTTTGGAGACAGACTGCCTGGGTTTGAGCCATGACTTAGTGTGACATACGGCAAATTACTTAAACAGTTACTTAATCTCTCTGCACTTCAATTTTCTCATCTTAAAACAGGATAATAGTAGTATTTACCTTATAGTGTTATTATGAGAATCAAATCAGTTAATGTATGTAAACGGCATTGACCAGTGCTTGCCACATAGTAAATGATATGCTAGTGTTAGAAATTAATGAATATAGCCATTTTGAGGAAATGAAATAAAGCCACTGTGGTCTGAGTGTGATAAACTAAGTTAGAGAGACTGGTAGGGATTATCATTCAAAGGTTCTAAGCAGAGGAGTAACTATTATAAAATCTGTCTCCCTCCAGATTCCATCCCCCACACTGCCAGTAGAACACACACAGGTCAGGTCATCCCCCTTCTGCCTACATGACAAAGGCCAAACTCCTTACGCAACTTGTGGCTGTTGTTGTTGTTAGGTGCTGTCATCCTATACAGGACAGAGTAGAACTGCCCCATAGGGTTTCCAAGCAGCAGCTGGTAGGTTCGAACTGTGGACCTTTTGTTTAGCAGCCAAGCTCTTAACTACTGTGCCACCAGGGTTCGACAACTTAGAAGGCCCTTTTTGGTATCAATTCAATCCACCCTTACAGTCACACAATTCACCTAGTTTCTTTTCCAATCTTCAACTACCCACATATAAGAACTTTACGCTTCAATAATGCAAATGTCTCACTATTCTTAACACTCTGACACTACCTTCCTCCTCTCCTCTGCAATAGTCCATTTTTTTTAATGTTTGACTAGAAATCTGGTACTGTTGCAGTTCAAAAGACATTTTCATCGACATCCACAGTTCCATCTCTTTCCAACTGTGCTAGAATGACTGCACTTCTATAAAATCTTCAGTGCCAATTTAAACCAAAAACAAAAAAACCAAACCTGTTGCTGTTGAGTTGATTCCGACTCATAGAGACCCTATAGGACAGAGGAGAACCGCCCAATAGGGTTTTCAAAGAGCGGATGGTAGATCTGAACTGCCAACCTCTTGGTTAGCAGCCTGAGCTCTTAACCACTGTGCCATGAGGGCTCCAGTGCCAATTTAGATAAATAATATTTTTCTTTCACTTCAAATCTTGTTCCTTAACTATGAGGTCCCATTCTAACGCCCCAAATTCCCTTTATAAAAAATGGAAAGGTTTTTTAAAAAAGAGATAAAACCCTGAGTCAACCCAAAAGTCAGGATCACTCCATCAACTGTCCTGGAAGTCAGAATTAAAGGCATGGGTTCTTAACCAGAGGTCCATGGACTCCTCAGGGCTACAAGGTAGTTTTATGAGGCCCCTCAAATTGCATGCAAAATATGTGTACATGCCTTTTTCTGGGGAGAGGGTCCATACCTTTCATCAGAGTTTCAAAGATATCTGTGACCTCCAAAAGGTTAAGAAGTGCTCTAGAGAAAAAGCAAAGACAAGCAAATGTGATTAAAAGAGTGAGTCCCTTTCAGGCTGTCTGGAATGCCTCATGTTGTCTTAGACTCTAATACCTGAAATCAGGTCAGAAGACATTTTGTAAAAGTGACTTATCCAATCAAATGCAAATTTAATACGGAACTGAAAAATACAGATTTGATGTAAGGAGGAACTCTATAAACCAACACAAAATCCATAAAGGCAAGTCATGAGGGCAGCTGATGATTTACTCCAGAGGTTTCAAAAATGGAATGAACAACTTGTACAAGGCAAGGTCATGGAAGCTCCACAGACACATCTAAACTCCCTGAGGGACCAAACTGCTGGGCTGAGGGCTATGGGGACCATGGTCTCAGGGAACATCTAGTTCAACTGGCATAACACAGTTTATAAAGAAAATGTTCTACATTCTACTTTGGTAAGTAGTGCCTGGGGTCTTAAAAGCCTGTGAGCGGCCACCTAAGATATTCCACTGGTCTCACCCCTTCGGGAGCAAGGGAGAATGAAGAAAACTAAAGACACAAGTGAAAGACTGGTCCAAAGAACTAATGGACCACAACTACCATGGCCACCACCAGACGTAGTCCAGTACAACTAGATGGTGCCCAGCTACCACCATTGACTGCTCTGACAGGGATCACAACACAGGGTCCTGGACAGTGTTGGAGAAAAATGCAGAACAAAATTCTAACTCACAAAAAAAGACTGAGAGTATGGCCCCCGGGCACCCTTTTAGCTCAGTAAGAAGTCACTCCTGAGGTTCACCCTTCAGTCAAAGATTAGACAGGCCCATAAAACAAAATGAGACTAAAGGGGCACACCAGCCCAGGGGCAAAGACTAGAAGGCAGGAGGGGACAAGAAAACTGGTAACTGGGAACCCAAGGTCAAGAAGGGAGAGTGTTGACATGTCATGGGGTTGGTAACCAATGTCATAGAACAACATGTGTACTGTTTAATGAGAAGCTAGTTTGTTCTGTAAACCTTCATCTGAAGTACAATAATTTAAAAAAAAATGCAATGAATAGGAAGAAAATATTAGATTTTATATTCATATTTCCTTTATCTCATCCATTCAAAAATTCCTTTTTTGTGTGTGTCTTATAATATACGTAACAGTACCGTAGAATGTATGGAACTTATATATACATGTATACATACAATGAAGGCAGTGGCTCAATTTTTTTACAAACCATGATAGATATTGAGACCACTGATGATCTACACATTTCAGTACCGCCAACAGTAACGCTACAGTAACACAAAAACCCACTAATACAATTTAGAATCCAAAGGTAAGAAACAGATTAGCTTTTCCAGAAAGGCTAATTGGTGTCAACTAATAAGTGTTTAAAGACAGGATCTCTCTTTATCTTTACTACTTAAACTTACTTTTAAAGTTCTTAAACTACTGGTCATCAAGTTCTAAAGGATCAATTTTCAGTTTTGGCTAAATCAGCTTGCTATGATCACGATTCCCAGAACGTGATCAAAACATCTGATGGGAAAACTATTTGTGAAACCACAAATGGACAATTTATCAAATTAATTCACCCTAAAAGACACTACTCTTTTCTTCCAGGAAAATGATAATCTAAATGTGAGAAAGCTACCAAGACCCATAACTTTAAATAGCTTCTGTGATTCGGACTGTCACTCAGTGGTGATATCAAGAGATGCCAGGTCTATCCACGCGATGTGAATGGGAGAGACAACCCTAACCTTGGCATTGTCTTCCCACAGTTTTGAAGCTAAGAGTTCTCGGGGGCGGGGGGTGGGGTGCGGCTTGGAGGACCGGGAACCACTAGAAGAACCCGAAAAACTTTTAAATCTGAGGTGTCTGTGCCTTTACTAACTCTTAAGGCCCCCTGAACCCCAGGTCTCGCCCAGGTTTCAAAGTTAGCCTTGGGGGGCGTATCCCTGCCTTTAAAAAGGAGCGGAAGCATTTTCTGGATCACGTTTAGGTCGTAGACACAAATACACAAGGATGCCATCACCTAATAGGGAAATCTCAAGTTTGGTAAACAGACGGGAAGCATTGACCCGGAAAGAAAAAAGAGCCCTGTGTAGGCATGGGGCGACGAGGAGGGGACCACTGACGTAATGCAGCTCCGACAAGAAACGAAAAGGGAGTATAACAGGTAGAAGGCGATTACACAACCCAGTGGGGAAGGCTGACCGACGATACAGCGATGCAGAAAACCAGGAAGTCAAAATAACAAGTAAAGATAAAAGTAAAGCCATGAGGAAAAACAGAAAAGTAGAGAAGGCGTAGTGGGGAAGAAGGCAGGCACAAAAGCAAAGCCGGCTTACTACTGCGGGAGAGGGAAAAGAAAAGGAAAAAGCTGCAAGGAGAACATGTAGGAGAAGAAGGTGCAAGCCACTCTGCAGAATTCAGTTCCCAGAAAAGTCCAACTCAGCCCTTCTCCCCTTCACGGTACCTTCAGCTTATGAAGCTCCACGGTCTCCGCCGCCATCTTGTTATCCCCTCTACTCCACTAGGCCCCCACCCGCTGCCTATGCCTCCAAGAGCTCCCGCCTAGCCGCAGAAAACCAGGGCGGACCAATCGCTGTCACTCTCACTTCCACCCCACACCATCGGCTCTTCCCATTAGTCAATAGGTGGCTTCGCTCTCGCTCTTCTCCGCAGCTTTCCCCACCTCTCTCAAAAGATAGGACAGAGTAAAGGGCGGGTTCTGCCTCTTCCGAACGACAGAAATGACAACCAATTGTGCGTCCCCATTCCAGATCGCCAGCCAATGGGTAGTGGCAGCGCTGATTCTGTTCCACCAATAGGAAGAGTGCAAATGGGCGAGTGCGGCTGCTTCCTGGAAACTACAGGTGTGGAAGGGAGCGCTGCGCCCCAGGAGGGAAGCTGTCAGGTAGGGGCTACTGGAAGACTGGAAAGGGGTTGCTAAGGAAAAAAGGTGGGAGGGGGAAGGGAGGTGTGGGGGAGTTACAAACCGAGAGAAGTGCTGGATAGAGCCCTGAAGGAACCCGACGAACGAGAGAGGGAAGCTGGGAGAAGCATGGGGGGAGTTCAATAGGGTTTAGGTATTTTTAGGTAGAGGCGGGCAAGAGCCGCTTCCTAACCTAACACGAATTTAAAGGTCCACGTTCAGATGATCAGAACCACCCCGGAGTCCGGGCCAGGGCTCCATCTCTCGAGGCGTTGAGCGTAGGTCCCTTTCTAGCCCAGTTCGGAAGCCCGGGGCAAGTTCTTGCAGCGCCCACGCTTGAGAGAAGGAATGGAGATGCTGGCTGCCTGCGTGCCAAGGGGATGACAGACCCAAAGAAAAAGGGGAATTGGAAGTAGCTTTACTCTCTCAGCCCTCCTGGTAGTTCCTTGTTGATTCCCATGACCCTCTTCTGGGATTTCGGGTGTACGTAACCTGTTCATGATTCTTTATTAACTTCTTCAGTAAAATGAGATACTCCTAGTTTCCGTTGCTCATTGGGGCACTCCATGTTAACAACTGAAGTGTAAAAATTACCCCGTCTCTAAAACGTACAGAGGATTCTTCCTATTTTTAAAAATTTTCCCAAGTCTTCCATTTTTCCTTTGTGCATAATGGGGAAGTTCTTTCATTCCTAGTATAGTTCAGGGGATCTTGGTTATTCAGGATGAAAGTGGGGGAACAAGCTCTTCTCAAGTTGAGAGGAAACTGAATTGGACTCCTGCCTGATCCTGCACTGTGGTAGGATGAATGTGGGGGTGGCGCACAGCGAAGTAAACCCAAACACCCGAGTGATGAATAGTCGGGGCATCTGGCTGGCCTACATCATCTTGGTAGGACTGCTGCATGTGGTTCTACTCAGCATCCCCTTCTTCAGCATTCCTGTTGTCTGGACCCTGACCAACGTCATCCATAACTTGGTGAGCACAAAACCATGCCCTTATATTCATCCCAGGCCTCCCCCAACAAAAAACACAAAATAACCAATACTTTGGGGATTTATATCTTCCTTTTGGGATTCCCCAATTCCTACCTTATGGGGCAGTTCTACTCTGTCCTATAGGGTCACTATGAGTCAGAATCGACTAGACGGCAACGGATAGTAGTAGTAGTAATTCCTACCTTAGAATTCTTGGGCTGAAGGACTACCTTCTGCCTCCTCATACTGCCCCTTCCTTCCTCCCAGGCTATGTATGTCTTCCTACATACAGTGAAAGGGACACCCTTTGAGACCCCTGACCAAGGAAAAGCTCGGCTACTGACACACTGGGAGCAGATGGACTATGGGCTCCAGTTTACCTCTTCCCGCAAGTTCCTCAGTATCTCTCCTATTGTACTGTAAGTTTGGGGGGGATATGGGAGATACTGGGTTGGAAAGAGCTCTGAGAGCCAGGTAAAGAGGTCCACAGGGAAGTTTTAAAAAAGCAGACTACCCATCTAAGACCCTCTGAAGATACCGTGTTATACTAGTTCTAAACCTAGGGAAAGCAGTTAAAAAGTAGAAAACAGTAATCAAGAATTTCCTTGCATTTACTGGCCTAAAGGAGACTGGAGAAACCCCGAGAGTATGGCCCCCAGACACCCTTTTAGCTCAGTGGTGAAGTTACCTTCGAGGTTCACTGTTCA